GTACGTAACAATTGAAAACTTCTACTTTTGGAATTAACTGTGCACCTTTTTTGGCCTTAAGGACTTTAATTCAGCATGGAGAAGATTGCAAATTGACAGATAGTCTGTCTTCTGAGATTCTGAGGTACGAGACCTATGTGGACGACGTACTTTCTAGAGGACATGATCTAGAGGAAGCTCGTTATAAGCAAATGCTACTTATTGGAACTTTAACTTCAGCCTTCCCTCTGAAGAAAATGGCATCCAATTGCAAAGCACTTTTAGAAAATTTGACCCGGGAGGATCTTCTTGATGAAATTTGATGAAACTAGTACTACGAAAACCTTTGGAATTCGCTAAAATGCGAAGAATGACACTCTTTTCTACAAGGTTCAGGAGGTTAATAGCACTTTGGTGGCTACTAAAAGAGATATTCTATCAGTGATCGTGAGGTTATATGATCCACATAGATGGATGGGGCCCGTCATAGTAGTCTTAAAGATACTTATGCAAAGTCTTTGGCAAGAAAAAGTTTATTGGAATAAAGCGGTTCGTCCCAGTATTATGGTATTCTGGAGAAAATTTCTGGAATCATTGTCAAACGTAGGTGAACTAAAAATTCCGAGGTGGATAGGTTATTCGCCTGAGGCTACAATACAAGCACATGGATTCTCAGATGCCTCTGAGAAAGCATACTGTGCAGTTGTGTACATACGAATTGAGCACCCAACGAGGAGAACCACTAAAGAGTTTAACAATCCCTAAATTGGAGCTTTGCGGAGCTGTAATGTTGGCGAAGCTAGAATGGCCTTAACATTCGGTACGATTATAAAAAGTTTTATTGGACTGACTCGATCGTGCTTGGATGGCTTCAGAAAGATCACAGTCGCTTAAAACATTCGTAGCAAATCGTATCTTGGCACTTAAAGAAATCTGCAACAGCGAAGATTGGCGTCATGTAAGTACTGATGAAAATCCTGCAGATATTTGTTCTCGTGGTTGCACACCATACGAACTCAAGGAAAACGATCTATGGTGGTATGGACCACCCTTCGGAAACCATTAGAAGAATGGCCAAAACCAAAAACTTTCGATCCGCCAACTATAGAAACCAAAAAGACATCATCCTTCACGTTTCTTTTTAAAGATGAAGAACAGAATTCGTCATGGTCAGAGAAAGACATATTCAAACGAGTTTTATCATTTAATAGAACTATCAGAGTTATAGAGCAAAGCATTCATGTTTTTCAAAGACGTCGATGCCGAACCCACCCTGGAGTATATTTTACTACCGAAGATCCAATTACGACTGTAGAAATTATAGATGCTAAACGGAGAATGATAGTATCGGCGAAAAAAACATTTTATCCTCTTGATTACGAATCGAAGCTGTACTCAACTCAAGACCATTGTGCTCAGTGTCGGAAGATCCAAATGAATTGGTCCCCCTGACTCCTGGTCACTTTTTACGAGGAGCCCCTCTAACAGCTCCCCTGAGTCTTGCTTAAGTGTACCCATGAAATCGCTCTCATACATTAACAGATGGCAGCGATTTAAAACACTACATCACATATTTAGTCAGATATGGAAAGCAGAATACTTCACTGAATTGCAAAGGAGATACAAATGGAAAACTTGCAGAAATAATTTGAAGGAAGGTGATCTGGTAATTGTTAAAGAAGATTTTCTACTCCCTAGTGAGTGGTGTCTTGGACGAATCACTCAAACTTTCACCGGAAAAGACAATAACGTGGGAATAGTGGAGATAACAAAAAGCGGCCTCATCGTTCGCCCAATCGTGAAGGTATGTCTTCTTCCCACTACCGCGCCTCAATCTGTCCCACATCTCAAGCCTGATGAAGAAAAGTCCAAAAAATTACTAAACCAATGATCAAATCAAAAATGCAAGTTTCTCATTGTATATGTTTGCCTTTCCCCTCTTTTCATTAACAGATACAATATGGCTTCCAACAACCCATAACCACCATGCTTCCTATGTGGCCGGAACCATCCGCTGAAGTATTGTTTGACATTCCGGAAAAAGTTATTCTCAGATCGCGGTCAGGCTCTAGAAGGACAGGACATCTGCCTAAACTGTCTCGGCTACGGTCACCACCGCTCAATATGCCCTTCGCCCCACAGATGTGAACGCGCAAAGCATCATTCAATGACTCATCATGACCAAATTCTGCACGATTCTAGCCAAGAGAACGTGGTCGAAACCAGTGACCACGAAATGCTGACGAAGTGGTACCCTTCTACAAGATGGCCACAACGTATGAAGGAGCTAAACCGGTTGACTACATATCGCCACAAAGAACGATCTTTCAGTACGACACCCAGATACAACCTGTAATCCAGTATGAATTACCCGCAGGAGACATTAAGAAGATGGTAAAACTAGCTTGGTTCAATCAAGTGCCAAAATCATGGGTCCTGCGAGATAACGTTGAAGAAATATTTCAGGAAAACCAGAAGACTGGCTCTGTATCAATCCTTGACCTAGCCATCCACACCCCTGAAGGCGACCTAAAAGAACGCTTCATCGTGCTAGAAAGCATCCCATTTTTCACTGCGCCCCCGATAAAGCGTCCATGTCATGTCATCCATGCGGCAGGGCGACCCTTAGTTCACCCTGAGCCGTTTTCATACGGGAAAATGACGGAGTAATTGGCCACGACCTAGAAGAACAAATTGCGCGTGGTCCCTGAAAAAAATTCTAAATGTAATCCGAATGTGCGGATCATGTGCCCGCAGCAACTACCCATTTCTGAAATCTCTCTGTCCGTTGGTGCCTCAAGACCACTTCCCTGCCTTATCGCCATTTTGTTGCCGGGAGTATGCTGAAGCCATGTTCAACATCAGTGACGTCCCCCTGACTCATCATATCATCAACATTAGTATTTAGTTTCCATCCCTATTATCGATATTATTTTCAAGAAGTTTGCTATTTAGTACATTTTCTCTCTGGTTTTTTTGCTTTCTCATTGTCATACTAATACTCAACCATTTCCATAGGTACATATATTCATAACGGGTTATATTTAATACATAGCGCTAGGAGCGCCTTCTTAATTTTAAACTTCCATTTTTCAATTTAGTTTGTAAGATCTACTCAATAAAGCAATAGCTTTAAAAAGTGAATTTTCTCAGAGAACTTGATTGTTTCAACTTTTTTGGGAATTCAACATCAGAATTCTGTGTAAAGACCTGAATTCTTCAAGTTTGTAAGCTTTTGGGTATTCAGCCACCATTCAAAATTTTTGTGAATGCTTTGCACACATCGTAAGCACCTTTTGTTTTAACTGCTTCCGTCCAGGTGTATTTAGAGAAATTATCAATAACTGTGAGCAAGTACTTCATTCCTTTATTAATTGTAGAATAATTACCCAATTCCACTAAATCCGCTTGCCATAAATCGTCAATGCCTTTTGTTATAACTCTTCGGCGAGGAAAGCGCTTTCTCGCTTGAGAATGAAGCTCATTTACAATTGCTCGTCTTTCCATTTATCAGTTTTTGAGAACTTGGTCAAGAATAATGTTTTGAGGTAATGACGTTAGTTTGGTTTCTACAACACCTGAGTTCTTTTCCTAATAGATCTATTTCTTTTCGCAAATTTCTTATTTCGGATGATACATCTCTTTTTATAATTTCTTTAACAAAATCAACAAAATAAAGTTTGCTATTTCCAAAATTCCCATCGCCTGCTTCGTCTTTGTGTGGACCATATATTGCATCAAATGTATGTGTATTCTCCAATAATGCATTCAAATTGTTAGCGCCATAATCATACACTGTTTCTGATTCTTCGTCGGAATAAAATGTATCATCTATGGAGTCATCTTGATCCTCGTAATTAACACTGAACTTGGTTTCATCTATCTCCTTTTTAGATTAATTTTTAATTTTATTCATTCATTTCATTTTATTCTTGGTCTCAGTCAAATTTAAATGAGATAATTTTACAACATCTTTTAGTGGTTTTATTATTGGTTTGAATGTGTACTCTAATCGCTTCCCCATCTCGTTCTCTCTCTGTTTGATTGATTGAAATTTTCTTTTTAGAACACTACTCGATTTAATAAATTCTTTTAAAACGTCGTGGGTCATTTTTTTCTAAACCGATGGTTTTTAAACTGTTGGTTTCTAAATCGATGGTTTTCAAACTGGTGGTACCTAAACCGATGGTTTTCAAACTGGTGGTTTCTTGACCGATGGTTTGCAAACGGGTGGTTTCCAAACCGATGGTTTTTAAACTGGTGGCTTTTAAACCAATGGTTTTCAAACTGGTGGTTTCTAATCCGATGGTTTTCATACTGGTGGTTTCTAAACCGAAATTATTACGTATGAAAGGTTGTAGCTTTCAATATAGCTGGACGGATTAAGCGCAATGTCTGATTGAATGAAAGTATAATGGAATACTAAATATGTATAAACACATTAAATCCTTTTCTATATCGGCCCTTCAAAATGCTATCTTTGCTTACAACTAAAAATCCATATTTATCCTTCCAGCATACTCGACAAATCTCGACAAACTTGTTACACGACAACAACAACATGCTCATTGAAAATATGTTTCGTATTAACACGGTCTTGTTTAAATATAATGAGAAAATTTGCTTATCTCTTACAAGATGTTTTGGAATTTTTGTGTATGTTTGATATAAATAAATAGAATTGATATTTTCTGTCTCCCCATGCAAAAATGTGCACGATTATTATTTTGTTTTTCCCAAGCAACATCGTCAAAGGTCATTATAGAGTTTTCTTCAGCACCATTTGGTTGTATAACATCAGCATTTTCGGAAAATGTGTGGAACCCCATTCCATTTATAGGGGTTATGAGCTTTTCTAAATATTTATATTTTGGTTGATGAAGTGATTTTGAATATAAATAAATGTTTTCGAATTTTAATCCATTAGGACTTTCAATCAAGCTAGTTGTTTTTAGGCTTACCATTTTGCCTTTGAGCCTTTTCTCGTTTAAAAGATATATATATTTTTCATTTTTAATTTTAATTCACCATCTTTTATTTATCTATTTTCTTAATAACATTTTTGGGGGTTTGTGCAATTTAGAATTATTATAATAAGTTTTAAGTTTTAGATATTTAATTTTTATTGTACTTTATATTTTAATACATTTGATAATAAGTTTTTAAATCTGTATTTAAGTTTTCATATTTAGATTGATGTGTTTTCTGTACAATTTTTCACCTTTTTGTTGTTTGTTGTAAAAAGTCTTAGTTAATGTTAACAATTTCACAGTGTTCTTTTTTGTAATGTTGATGATTTTTGATGTCTGTAAAATGTTCACTGTTTTTTCATGAAAATATTAATGTTATTAGTTCTTTTTTCTCTTTTATTTTGCACTGACACTTGTCACAAGGGGGGGAAACGTGCGTTCGCGACGATAATTCGATTAGAACTAACTATTGTCCAATTTGCATCGTCACATTAAACTGTTGACGTTATTAGAAGAAGTTATTAGAATTCAGCATTGGAACTTACCGGTGGCTGCATAAATGTATGTGTGTATGTGTTTACATTATTTACATCATTTTGTTATGATGCCGCCGGTAAATACCCAACCAACAGTGTTGGGCAAAATAATAGCAATTTTATGAACATTTTCTGGGCCCCGAATGACAAGTGTAAGTATTCATTTGTAATATACCATAAGGATCCTCGGTTTTCAGTTCCTCGGCATGTTCTTGATCGGCCCAGCAAACACGTAGCCCAGTTGTGTGTTGTAGGCCAGGACATCTCCAATTCCAGCTGCTGTACACCCATCTTTCCTTATGGCGGAGTACGTGTCCGCTCCCAGTTCCACATCGATTGGACTATTTCCACGGGGATCAGGGTCAGCAAGGGCGTAATTTGTAAAGCATCTCGTGGGGTCTTCTAGCATTGGGTCCGAGTAAATGCGTCTTGGGAGATCTTCGATAATTACCGCATTTACCTTCAGACTCCAAGTACTGTTCGTGCGGCGGGGCGAAACGGTGAAGGTTGTGAATCGCTCCCCTTTGTAGCTCCGCGACTGCAGACCCAGGTGTCAAAGGGGAAAGGTCGTTTGGGTCGTCGCTAGCAGGACTTAAGGGTCGTGAGTTGAGACAGCCTTCAATTCTTGATAAAATTGTTGTAAATTCTTCAAAGGTAAAATTCATTTTTGGTATACTTTTTCGCAAATGAATTTTAAATGATTTGACGCCAGCTTCCCACAAGCCGCCCATGTGCGGAGCACCAGGAGGAATAAATTTCCAAGTAAGATTTTGAGTGAAATTATTTTGAATTGTGCTATTTTGAATACTTTTCATGAAAGCTAATCTATCTCGCTTTAATAGATCAACCGCTCCCACAAAATTAGTTCCGTTGTCCGAAAATATACAAGACGGACGACCTCGCCGACTAATAAACCTAGAAAAAGCGGCAAGAAACGCATATGTCGACAAATCGCTTGTGGGTTCTAAATGTATAGCCTTAGTGGCGAAACAAACAAACAGGCACACGTAGCCTTTTGTAATAAAGCAGGCTCCTCCTGAATAACTTTTAATGTTAAAGGGTCCTGCAAAATCTACCCTGTGTTTGTAAAGGGAAAGAAAGGTGCGTTCGGGTGGTAGCGAAGCCATTATTTGAGTTTGGGTTTGTTTTTTGTGAATTAAGCAGATTCGACATTTTCGTATGGTTTGTTTGATAAGCGACTTGAGTCCAAATATCCAGAATTCGGACCTTAATACTCGGGTCATTAATTGATTGCCCCCGTGTAAAGTAACCTTATGAGTGAATTCGACTAATAATTTGCTAAGTTTTGCGCCATGTGGTAATATTATTGGGTGACGTTCGCTATAGGTAAGGGCTGGCGATTGTACCAATCGGCCATTTGCTCTAATAATACCCTTTGAGTCTATAAACGGGTTGAGTGTCAAGAGAGGACTTGAGGGAGAAATTTGAGTCTTTTTCATAAGTGTGTTGTATTCGTCTGCATATACGATTTTCTGGGTACGAATTATGCAAGATCGTTTTACATCTCGGATTTCCTCTGAAGTAAGGTCTTTTGATGAGGTTCGAAGGTGTTGCCTATCATCGTAAAGTTGTCCTTTGGTTTCAATTTGTACTATTGCTGTGAAGAGTAGTGTTCCTCCAGATTGTCGCTCACAAATTTGCTTATCTTGGAGGGTCAAAGTAGTAATAGTAGTTGGTTCTAGGTTTGTAGTGGACTGTATTTGATTTGTAAGAGCAGCAGCACTAGTACTAGGTCGTGCTTCCACTCGAGCTAGGTATGAGTTGGTTGTTTGGGTTTCCGTTCCCTTGTGTAACAAAGTATTGTGTCATAGTACAAATACGGCAGCCAAAGCGACTTTTGCAATCCTTTACTCCGTGATTTGATGACTAGCAATTGTAGCATAAGTGTGTAGTTTTCACGATGTGAATTCTGTCATTCGCACTCTTTTTCAAAAATTCGCTGCAATCTCTTATGAAATGATTTGATTTGCAGACTTGACAAGTTTGAGTATTTTTCGGCTTATTTTGTTGAGGTAATATTACATTAGTAGGTCTTCCTCCAAAGTTGTTTGTATTTTTTGAGACATTTGTTTGAAACGTTTTCAAAAATCTAGGCGTGTGATTGTTAGTTGGTTTTTGTTCAGCAAATTTCGATGTAGTGGGCTTTATATTTCCAACTGATTCCAAAGTTTTGAATTTGTTTGTTAAGAAAGCGTCAAACTGTTTCCATTTTGGAATTTGTTTACAATCGCTTAATGAGTTCTCGAATTCTTCTAAAAAGCCTCTAGTTAATTTTGTTGAACAAATGTATATTAAAATCGGATCCCATCCTTTAACATCGACATCAAACATCCCCAGTGTCTGAATGCTGCTATTAACATTGCGTTGTAGTTTTTGTATAGTGTGACTTGATTCAGTAGAAACTCCAGGTAGATTAAAAAGTGTCTTGATTTCTTCATTAATTTGCATTCGTTTATTCTCGTAAGGATCTGTGAGATTTTTCCATGCTAATGTAAATCTATCATTAGTTAGTGGGACATGTGAAATAATTTCTCTAGCTTCTCCTGCTGTCTTTTGCGTTAAATGGAACAATTTTTCGACATTGCTTAATTTTGAGTTGTTTATGTAAATTGCCGAAAATAGATCTCTGAAAGTCGGCCATTCTCTATAACCACCTTTAAATGTGTCTGTATCGCATGGAGGTAACCGCGATACGTTTGCGAAATCCACTTCCCTTCCTTGTTGTGACATCTCTGACTCTCTTTTCATTTTTTCCTGTGTCTTTTCATCCAAAATATTTTGAATTTGTCCATTTATTGAACTCAGCGCTTTTTTGTACGATCCCATGGTATCCATATAGTGCTTCCTCAGTTTATTTTTATCGATCGGCTTTCCTTCTTCTTCTGGAACATAATCCCGGCAGTCTATGTATGCTCTTTTGACCTGGTCCCATGCAGAGTCCAACTCCATCCTTGTTGTCTCCAATGTATGTACCGTGTCATCAGGTTTTGTTATTGAAAAAATTGAAATATAATCCAGATAATCGTTGACGCAATTTGTGAATTTATCGCTTAAAGATTTATCCATTTTGCAAGTTGAGCGTTGACCTTTACGAAATTTTGTTGGTTTACAAAAAAGAAAAGTTGCCCAATGAAAAGGACTAACTTGGTTTAGAATTTAAACTTTTATCCAAATTTTTATTTTTAAAATGAGGATAATTTTTTTTTTTTTCAATTTTTGTCGACGAAAACGATCTTATCTTATTGGTTTGAGTCAAATTATATTCCGTTTCCTTTCAAGAATTTCAAAATTTTTGAAAAATCTTACTATTTTTTTCCAAAAAAAAAAACGAGAGTCTTTTTTGATAGTCAAAGAGAAGTTTTATGTTCCAAAAAGTTTCAGAAAATCCAAAAAAAAAAAAAATTTCAACGAAAGAAAAAATGTGTGTTGGGTTGTCGAACAAAAGTTTCAAAAAAGTTTTACTTAAAATCGCTTAATATCCTATAACAGGAGGATTTTATTTTATAAAAGCCAATAATTTATTGATGTGAAAATTTGTCTGATTCAACAAATTTTCTAAATTCGCCAAATTTTTCGATAAAATTCGCAACGAGAATTAGAGAAAATTATGTATGTATAAATCCAAATATTTCAGCAGAAATATTTCAAACAAATAATTTGGGTCAAAAATCCAAAACTTTGAGCAAAAATTTCCAAAAAATTTGATTTGGGTCAAGGTCCAAATATTTCAGCAGAAAATTTTATGTCCCAGCATAATATTTTGAAAGAAAATAATTTGGGTCAAAATCCAAATATTTTCAGCTAAGAATTCAAGAAAGTGTAAAAAAATGTCAATGAAGAAATTTTTCCCAAAAAGTTGTCGTGTTATGTGTCACAAAATCAAAAAAAAAATATACCAGCAAAATATTTCTGCGAAAAATGCAAGAAATTAATTTTGGGTCACAGAAAATTTTTAAGCTCCTTAGAGCAATAGATATTGTGCTAAATGGGAAAAAAGGTTAAAATTAGAATAAAAATAAAAATTGTAAATATATGGGATCGATTTTATGTCTGTTCACCAGACTCCGATATAAAATTTGTTCTCCAAAATTTCAAAAAAATTTGTAGTTTAAGTTTCAAATGTATGTCTGTCCACCAGACGCTTGCTTGTTTGCCAATTTTTTCTCCAAAAATTTAAAAAAAATTTAGGTTATTTTTCGTCTGTCCACCAGACGCTATTTTTTTAAACGGGTTTTATTTACTCGTTTATGTATTCGGGTGACGCCAAATTTTTCCAAAAAATGTGGCGACTATATATTGCAAGTGACGCTTTGTTTCCAAAAAATTATATATAGTTTTTGCAATATGGCGTTTATATGTTTGCCAAGTTTAGTGACGCCAATTTTCCAAAATTAAAAGCTTATGTATTTGTGTCAATATGGCGCTTATGTATTCACCTGAACTCCACGTTCAGAAAATTCCAAAATTCTTAGTATATATATATTTGTATATGGCTGAAAATTCCCGCTATTTTCGAAAAAATATGTGTCTGTCGTTTTTTTTTTTTTTCGGCTCAATAGCATAATGTCTGTCCACAAAAATGGCTCCAAATGGAAAATTTCGTTCACTGTGTCAGAGTGGGCAACTAGCAGCTTTGAATATGGGTCAAAGTGTTATTGCAAATTATGGGAATATGCGGGTCAATGCAAATATTGAAGATTTGCCTGCTCCCGAAATTTCAACGAGTACTCACTTTGGGTTTTTTCCGGGTCTCGATGTTGTACCTTGTTTGTTGTTGTTGTGCTGCGTGTGTCCGTCCTACTGCTGGCTCCAAAATTCTCCGTGTTGTGGTTGTTTTTGTGTCACTGTAAATTGTCTCTTCGATATCCCTCTTTAACGTCTCTTCTGTAACCCTGTGTATTGTCTTTTTTTTTTTGTATAAAAAACTTTTTCAACTTTTTATTAATTTTTTAGATTTTATATTTTTTAAAATTGAAGAAAAAATTTAATTTTTCTAAAATTTTAAAAAATTATATTTTTTTTTAGCACTGTGTTACTTCACTTTTTGTTGCACTGTGTATTGTCTATTTTTTTGTAAACCTTTGTAATTTTTTTCCAAGGTTTTTTTTTTTCAACACTTTTTTAACTTTGCACTTATTTTTGAACCCCACTGTATTTTTTTTTCTATTTCACTGTTCTTGTGTCTGCCCGTCCACTCACAAATTGTTCTTTGTTGTTTTTAATAATTTAAAAAACTTTCACTTTTTTATCCGGCACTGAAGGATCAAATGTTTTTAGGCTTACCTTTTTGCCTTTGAGCCTTTTTTCATTTAAAAGATATATATTTTTTTCGTTTTTAATTTTAATTCACCATCTTTTATTTATCTATTTTCTTAATAACATTTTTGGGTGTTTGTGCAATTTAGAATTATTATAATTAGTTTTAAGTTTTATATATTTAATTTTTATTGTACTTTGTATTTTAATTCATTTGATAATAAGTTTTTAAATCTGTATTTAAGTTTTCATATTTAGATTGATGTGTTTTCTGTACAATTTTTCACCTTTTTGTTGTATGTTGTAAAAAGTCTTAGTTAATGTTAACAATTTCACAGTGTTCTTTTTTGTAATGTTGATGATTTTTGATGTCTGTAAAATGTTCACTGTTTTTTCATAAAAATATTAATGTTATTATTTTTTTTCTCTTTTATTTTGCACTGACACTTGTCACACGGGGGGAAACTTGCGTTCGCGACGATAATTCGATTAGAACTAACTATTGTCCAATTTGCATCGTCACATTAAACCTGTTTTGCCTGTTGACGATGCTTAGTTATTAGAATTCAGCATTGGAATTTACCGGTGGCTGCATAAATGTATGTGTGTATGTGTATGTGTTTACATTATTTACATCATTTTGTTATGATGCCATTTATGCGGCCGCCGGTAAATACCCAACCAACAGTGTTGGGCAAAATTATAGCAATTTTATAAACACTAGTCATAACATTTATTTTTCCGCAGTTCAATAGGCACATTATTACAGCTCTTATAGAGTTTAGTAGCAATTGACTATGTTTGGGTTTTCCGCTATTATGTCGTTTAAAATCAAAGTTTCTCACTTTGATATTTGTATCTTGTTCCATCAAACGCATTTTATTGGCTTTACACTATTATATTTCATCATAAAATTTATGGATCAAAAATTTTTTATATTAAATTTTTCGTGATTTTCGTTTTAAATATATATGAAATGATTGTTTATTTGAAAAATAAATTCAATTGCAATCGAAACATACAAGGAAGAGGATTGCTAAATAATACTATAAATTCAGTTCCATTTGAGCTTAACTTTTCTGGTTATCAATATTGTGGACCCGGAACAATGTTGGAAAAAAAGATTACAACGAGGTGACATAGGAATAAACCGCATGATATCAATGCAGCGATAAATATTGCTCACAAAGAAATTGGAAAATCATTCAAGGGGAATAAATCTAATGTTATTATTTCTAGAGTTATAAGAATACCGAAAATTGGTGTATTCTTACCAATAATACAAATTTTAACAGCCCTCAGCGCAGTGGGGACATTGGCTAAATTGTCTCTTCGATATCCCTCTTTAACGTCTCTTCTGTAACCCTGTGTATTGTCTTTTTTTTTGTATAAAAAACTTTTTCAACTTTTTATTAATTTTTTAGATTTTATATTTTTTAAAATTGAAGAAAAAATTTAATTTTTCTAAAATTTTAAAAAATTATATTTTTTTTTAGCACTGTGTTACTTCACTTTTTGTTGCACTGTGTATTGTCTATTTTTTTGTAAACCTTTGTAATTTTTTTCCAAGGTTTTTTTTTTTCAACACTTTTTTAACTTTGCACTTATTTTTGAACCCCACTGTATTTTTTTTCTATTTCACTGTTCTTGTGTCTGCCCGTCCACTCACAAATTGTTCTTTGTTGTTTTTAATAATTTAAAAAACTTTCACTTTTTTATCCGGCACTGAAGGATCAAATGTTTTTAGGCTTACCTTTTTGCCTTTGAGCCTTTTTTCATTTAAAAGATATATATTTTTTTCGTTTTTAATTTTAATTCACCATCTTTTATTTATCTATTTTCTTAATAACATTTTTGGGGATTTGTGCAATTTAGAATTATTATAATTAGTTTTAAGTTTTATATATTTAATTTTTATTGTACTTTGTATTTTAATTCATTTGATAATAAGTTTTTAAATCTGTATTTAAGTTTTCATATTTAGATTGATGTGTTTTCTGTACAATTTTTCACCTTTTTGTTGTATGTTGTAAAAAGTCTTAGTTAATGTTAACAATTTCACAGTGTTCTTTTTTGTAATGTTGATGATTTTTGATGTCTGTAAAATGTTCACTGTTTTTTCATAAAAATATTAATGTTATTATTTTTTTTTCTCTTTTATTTTGCACTGACACTTGTCACACGGGGGGAAACTTGCGTTCGCGACGATAATTCGATTAGAACTATCTATTGTCCAATTTGCATCGTCACATTAAACCTGTTTTGCCTGTTGACGATGCTTAGTTATTAGAATTCAGCATTGGAATTTACCGGTGGCTGCATAAATGTATGTGTATGTGTTTACATTATTTACATCATTTTGTTATGATGCCATTTATGCGGCCGCCGGTAAATACCCAACCAACAGTGTTGGGCAAAATTATAGCAATTTTATAAACACTAGTCATAACATTTATTTTTCCGCAGTTCAATAGGCACATTATTACAGCTCTTATAGAGTTTAGTAGCAATTGACTATGTTTGGGTTTTCCGCTATTATGTCGTTTAAAATCAAAGTTTCTCACTTTGATATTTGTATCTTGTTCCATCAAACGCATTTTATTGGCTTTACACTATTATATTTCATCATAAAATTTATGGATCAAAAATTTTTTATATTAAATTTTTCGTGATTTTCGTTTTAAATATATATGAAATGATTGTTTATTTGAAAAATAAATTCAATTGCAATCGAAACATACAAGGAAGAGGATTGCTAAATAATACTATAAATTCAGTTCCATTTGAGCTTAACTTTTCTGGTTATCAATATTGTGGACCCGGAACAATGTTGGAAAAAAAGATTACAACGAGGTGACATAGGAATAAACCGCATGATATCAATGTAGCGATAAATATTGCTCACAAAGAAATTGGAAAATCATTCAAGGGGAATAAATCTAATGTTATTATTTCTAGAGTTATAAGAATACCGAAAATTGGTGTATTCTTACCAATAATACAAATTTTAACAGCCCTCAGCGCAGTGGGGACATTGGCTACTGGTGGATCATTTATATGAAAGCAATAAACTCAAGAAAGGATGCAAAGAGACAGTTAGAAGAAGGTATTCGTCATAATAAATCTAAGGAGGGATTCTACCTCAAACCATTGAAAAAGGGGGGATTTAGATATAATAACCTTTGCAAGGAAATATATTCCGCATATATATATATATATATATATATATATATATATATATATATATATATATATATATATATATATATATATATATATATATATATATATATATATGTGTGTGTGACAAACTTCCCAAAAAACCACATATTATAGAATGCGGTATTGTTAATCTTTATTCGTATAAAGGTCCTGGGACCCATTGGGTAGCATACTATAAAAATTATTATAAGAAATAATTTTTTTATAGATTCGGCAATCTTCAACCCCCTTTGGAAATACTGCAGTATCTAGGAACTGATGTAACTTTTAATTATGTAAGAAAACAAAAATTCAATTACTTCAACTGCGGACATTTGTGTTTGGAGTTTCTTTTAAACGTTCGTCTATAAAGCAGTAGTAAAAGTCATAAATGATAATGTACAATAAAATTAATAAATTTTATGTATTAGAAAAAGAAAATCTTGTTTTAATTGATTTATATTTTTAGCTTTTATTTATGTATTTGTAAAATAAAAATGTGTATAAACCAGTAAGAACTACTAGGCAAAATATAAGAACCATTATAATACTATCAATTGTTAAAGTACTCCGTATAGATGGGGCTATTGAATTTGAAAGACTTACTTCTTTGGAATGATATTGCTCTGATATGACAATATTATGGATTCCGCACGTATGAAAGCCTGCTTCAGGTAGGATATTGCTAGACCAATGTTTGTGTTCTGCCAGTGGCAAATCTGTTTGTTTCCAACGACAATTTTCAACTCCACAAAAATAACAAGTAACTCTATCTGCTTGTCCTGTACAATAAAATCCAAACATTGCCATTTCTCTAGGTTTTGGATCTATTAGTGGCCAGGCATCGAATGTCTTTAACCGCTCCTCCTCTCTATAAAAACATTCCTCAAGGATGTTTAATGAGTTTAAGTTTTGATAGCTAGAGACATGCATGCTTTTACTGAAACTTCTATTTTAATACTAATTTTGGGTAAAATAGGAATTGTTTTTTAGAGAAATAAAATTATATTCTTTTGAATAAAATAGAATAAAATAGATTTAAAGGTGGTAGTATTATTCGCTTCATTCAATGGTTTCTTAGCAATTGAAAATCCTCCTTCACTCAGTTTCTTTATGGCTTCATCTCCTAGAAAAACAAAAAAACCTAACAAAACCAAATATTAATAATAATAATAATGATAATAATAATAATAATAATAATAACAATATAATAATAATAATAATAATAATAATAACAATAATAATAATAATAATAATAATAATAATAATAATAATAATAATAATATAATAATAATAATAATAATAATAATATAATAATAATAATAATAATAATAATAATAATAATAACAATAATAATAATAATAATATAATAATAATAATAATAATAATAATAATAATAATAATAACACTAATAACAATAACAACAATAATAATAATAATAATAATAATAATAATAATAATAATAATAATAAATAATAATAATAATAATAAATAATAATAATAATTATAATAATAATAATAATATTAATAATAATAATATAATAATAATAATAATAATAATAATAATAATAATAATAATAATAATAATAATAATAATAATATAATAATAATAATAATAATAATAAATAATATAATAATAATAATAAAATAATAATAATAATAATAATAATAATAATAATAATAATAATAATAATAATAATAATAATAATAATAATAATAATAATAATAATAATAATAATAATAATAATAATAATAATAATATAATAATAATAATAATAATAATAATAATAATAATACCTGCCCTAAACCAAAGCAAAAAAGGCATGATTTTTACTGTTTTAATCTTTATATTTATTATTAAATTGGTTCATGATATTCTTATAAGTATTTAAATCCTTTGCAACATCTACCATTGCATCATCACTTTCAGCTTCACTACATTACTTTCAGCTTCACCACTGATAATATTATCAGGGAGATCATCAGTGAAAGATGAGTCTGTCGCTTCCAACTCATAAATGTTTCGCCCCTCAGGTATCCGTACCCTTAGACAATCTTCTATTAAGTCTTCTCTTGACGCATCCCATATATTTGCTTCTAGCGATCTTTCTTCTTCTTCCTCACACCATGTTTCCTCAGATGTTCCTTCTTCATCAGCTCCCTCAGCGGATATTTTGTTGCTTGACCCTTCATCTTCGGCAGCTGTTTCCTTCTGCGACCAATCGATGTCATCCGACCAATCCATATTCTCTAAACCTTGAGCTGATGGATGGATAATTATTCCTTTGGCAGCCAAATCGTTCTCTAATTCCGCTTTACTTTCCGGGCTTAACCCATCCTCCTTTTCCCAAATCTGTGTTACTCTTCCAAATTCTCTTTCTTCAATATGCTCATAGATGACTCGTTCAAAACTTTTGAAGGCCTGGTGTTGCTTATAATGATATCACTTAACTGATTGAACTCCTAAAAATGAATATTACTTTTATACACATAAGTCCTTTCTGTTGCGGAGGTTTTTTCTTTTCTTTTGTTTTAAGAAACCAATATAAATTAAATAGACATATCACACTATTATAGACACCCTTGGTTGTCACCAATAAACTTAACTTACACTTGACGAACACCGAGATTCTAACACTCAAACAATATTTTTAGAATAAATGTCAACCATTTTCCGAATTTATTGGCAATTAATTTATAATGCAAACATACAGAAATATTAAGTATATCCCACAAAAATTGTCAGCAAGACAATTCCAAATGAAAAAAATCATTATTCATACACACGAAACATTTGTATTGTAAAGAAATTAGAAGCCATCCCAAAAAAAGGTCATCTTGGCACTGAGTGCGTCTTGAAGAACACATAAACATCCCCTAAAATATGCTTACAAAAACTCACTACACTATATTAAATGCAATATAATGCCCCGCGGTTGTTATGTCATAGGCACGATCACACACACACACAACCACCTGCATCACCCGGTCAAAAGATCATCTTACTACAGTTCGTCTTAAACATTACACACAATCATTTCCTAAAAAAATATAACAGACCTACATTTTCTAAGCTTATATTTATTATAGCCATTTCGCATTCATGTATCTATTCCAAAGAAAATCAGAGGCATTTAGCAAATTTGTCAAATTTGAAGCAATGGCTACGCCAATGCATAATACCCCGAAATCAGCAGTAACTGTAGACCAAGGTACAGAATATCATTCTAACAATGCAACGGAATATTTTAAAAGAAAAGGAATTCAGCTTCAACGCACAGTTCCTTATACCCCACAGCAAAACGGGGTTGCTGAAAGATTTAACCTTAACATAGTACAATTCGGATAATATTAACGGTGAGTGTTAAAAGACATTTACATTTCCACTAGCTTTATGTAAATGCCGCATTTCTTTACTGGGATTCAAAATGTCAACCATTTTCCGAATTTATTGACAATTAATTTATAATGCAAACATACAGAAATATTAAGTATATCCCACAAAAATTGTCAGCAAGACAATTCCAAATGAAAAAAATCATTATTCATACACACGAAACATTTGTATTGTAAAGAAATTAGACGCCATCCCAAAAAAAGGTCATCTTGGCACTGAGTGCGTCTTGAAGAACACATAAACATCCCCTAAAATATGCTTACAAAAACTCACTACACTATATTAAATGCAATATAATGCCCCGCGGTTGTTATGTCATAGGCACGATCACACACACACACAACCACCTGCATCACCCGGTCAAAAGATCATCTTACTACAGTTCGTCTTAAACATTACACACAATCATTTCCTAAAAAAATATAACAGACCTACATTTTCTAAGCTTATATTTATTATAGCCATTTCGCATTCATGTATCTATTCCAAAGAAAATCAGAGGCATTTAGCAAATTTGTCAAATTTGAAGCAATGGCTACGCCAATGCATAATACCCCGAAATCAGCAGTAACTGTAGACCAAGGTACAGAATATCATTCTAACAATGCAACGGAATATTTTAAAAGAAAAGGAATTCAGCTTCAACGCACAGTTCCTTATACCCCACAGCAAAACGGGGTTGCTGAAAGATTTAACCTTA